GTGAAGAGGCAGCTAGCCGAGACGAAGCATGTTAAGCTCGTGCTCAAGACCGACCAACCCGTGGACTATAGGGTGTTTTAGCTTAGCAATGCTAAGCAAATGCTAAGCAATGCTAAGCAAAGCTAAGCAAATGCTAAGCAAAGCTAAGCAAAGCCTTAGCAATTAAAAGTTACTATTCTATATGGTTTGTGAAGTACTCATCGTGTGCAATTTAACCTTCATCTCGCTGTGTTTCCCCTGTATCGGTTATTATATCATTAGAGTTAAGAATCGCTTGTTATATTATAAGATGGAGTGCGACGACCTGCTCAACCAACTGTTGGTGGAGGGGGATAAGCGACCTGATGACGACAAGCGAGAGAAACTAGTAGCGCTGGCTGTCAGTGGCAAGGCCAAACAATACTTTGGGGACTATACCCCTAATAAAATCCAGAAACTACATTCTGATGAGGTCGATAAGCTGTACGCGAGATACAAGTCCCGGCTTGGGGCCGAGATGACGAAGACTATAGGCTCGACAATGGCGCAGATCTACACCGGCATAGCGTCGTACTTCCTCCCCATTCCCCCGGAACGTCCTGTGGGAGGACCTCGAGAAGGACCACTTTATCCAACACGCTTTGAGCGCCGTCAGCTGCCTGCTGTACCATAAATACGGTATGTTCTTAGCCCCGGTGACAGCGGTGATCATCACGGCGAAGCATTGTCAATTTAAAGAGGGGAATAATAATAGTAATGGTATACAAGATGGATCAAAAAGTGACTCCGACCCCAATAGAGGAAAAACCGACACAGGGGGAACCCCCTACAGGAGGGAACCCCTACAGTAACCAAGAAGAAGAACCCTAAGAGAGTCGCCGCCGGTAGAAAAAGGTGGTCTAGCCAACATAAGAGTAATTACACTCTGTGGGTTGCAGGTGCAGCTGCTGCGGCTCTTTCATTATTCATGTTATATAATAAACGCCCAGCACCCCCGGCACCACAACCACAATTAGAGGTCAACCCCCATATACATCATGTCTGAGGGGAAAACGTTCGTTAACGGAGCATACCACGCCACTGTGGTCGCCGGCCTAGCCGTAGGATACTCTCGGTTGACCAAGATGGTCCTCAAACAACCGACTATCAAGCTCGACTTCGACTTGCCAGATATGGGCATGCTCATCATGAATTTGGGCATGGCTATGGCCACCAAGGATATCCTCGTGAAGCAAGGGATCATACCGGGGAATATTTTGAAGTAAGTATATAAACATATATAGGATGGCTACGATCGCTATGATGGTCGGCGGGGCTTTAGTCAATGCCCTGGCATTTTCCAGGAGTAGTTACCTGTTCTCGAAATTACGGGAGTCGAACGCGGCCGAGGTAGAAGTGGAACGAAAACGGCACAACATAGCCGTGGAGCAATTACAAGCCGAGTACGCGAAGAAACGTATGCAGAGGCTCGATTACATTAACGAACGACTCCAACGTGAGAACCATGCCGTTAAAACGTTCCATGACGTCGACGACGCAGCGAGAGAATACTACCTACTAACCGGCAAACAGCTCGAACCAATCGAGGAACCCACACTTGCTCAGTACTACACACCATCATCCCCAGGGCAAAAGGACCGAGAACTGACCTTCGTCGTGCTGGGTCTAGCAGCGACTGCGTTGATTGTAAAGCAATTAAACTAAGTCCCCATATGAGTATACCAAAGATGAGACCTGCCCCGTACCGATGCCAGTACATACTTATGGGGAAGACCGAGACCTGCGGTAGGAAATGTAGGATGAAGGGGTACTGCTGTTTTCATAGGAGGTGTTTCATAAACTACACGTGTTCCGTGTGCGGTATTGGAGTGAAATGTCACTACTGTTTATGTAAAGCCCATGGGGCAAACGTAGTCAGGCACCAGCTTATCTACGAGAAGAAAAAGGACTACATAAACGAATGTAGGCGCCTCCTTAGTATGGAGGTGTAATTTTTTACTTAGAGCTGGAGGAGTTACCTCCCTTCCAGTGACCCAATTAGAGACTGTGTACACCTAGGTATAATAATGCCTGCTATTCAATTCATTCGAATTCCACCCCCGGCTTTTGGCCTGAGAAGCTGGTTGATGTTTCCGGGTAAATGTAAATGTTACCTCCCTTGTTGGCGGCCCAATTAGAGATTGTATACACCTGGGTATAACAATGCCTACTGTCCGAGAGCTCAAGCAGATTGCGAGAGAACGAGGTGTAGTGGGTTACTCCCGAATGAGGAGACCCCAATTGTTTAGATTACTCGACATACCCACCCACGGTGAAACAACTCAAACACCAAGCCAGAGAGCTGGGGTTGACTGGTTATTCCCGTATGAGGAAAGCTGGGCTAGTCGCGCTGTTAAACGACCCCGTACGTCCCCACACTGTGAAACAACTCAAACAGGAAGCCTGAGAGCTGGGGTTAGTAGGTTATTCCCGTATGAGGAAGCCTGAGCTCGTTGAACTGTTACATCAATACAGAGTCGTTAATCTAGAGTTCGTGCGCACTGAACACGCTGCAGGTAACTATCTGAGAGGCTGGCGCATGCATGTGGATAAGAACATAGACATCAGCGACGTCAAGCCGCTGATCGCTGACAAAGTTAATGAGGAACTGAACGATTTGGGAAGTCTAAAGTTTCAAATAACGACAAAGATGTCGCTCGATAAACAGCAGAATGGTGTCCTTGAGTACGTTCAGCCTTACTTCCGGGGTAAACAAGAAGTCGTGACTCATGCCGAGACTATAGACGAGTCCATCGATGTCAGTCTTCAGCAAATACGAGAGACCCTGGAACGCTTCACGCACAGGGGGTCTGTGCGTACTACCTCAAGTGGTGTCGGCTATCAACCACGAAACCACTCGGCTCACCGGCAAGAAACCGGCCGACGCTATCAAACTGAAATCAGTGACGGCCAAACTGGCTGCACCATTGCGTGAGAAGGAGAAACAGATACCCGACCGGGTCCTAGTGAGGTACCTCTACCAACCGGGAGAACATGAAGGGGACAATCGGAAACTAGCCACCGACCCAACATGGTCAGTCAAAGCTTACAAAATAGATAAAGTGGACATCAAAGCCGACGAGCCGAACTTGTACTACTTGAAAGATGGGCCATGGAGAGGTTTCGTCAGAGAGGAATTATTGGTCATACCATACGACACAATGTTACCCCCCAAGCAAAATATTTAACACTTACCTTACCAAGTAATCCCAATAGTATCATGTAACCAGCTCACATTAAACTGATTCCTGTCAACACGACATAGGGCGATCACAATAGTGCCACGTGATCAGGAAAGTGTTGGTTTGCAGTCATAGTGACCAGGAAGTTAACTGGGGGTTAAAAACTTGTATATACAATAGCGGGGAGAGATAAGGGCCTGACAAAAGCTTTATTTCGTGAATGAAGCTTTACAGAGGCTTTTGTTGGAATTTATCTAGTACCCCCATTGTGTATACTCACTGTAATGTAAATAATAGCCCATCAGGACCTGCTGAACCAGTGTTTGATCACATGGGGCTACATTTTTAGTTTATTAGAGAATAGCCAGTAAACTTGCTGGTGATATTGGGTGAAACACGTTATATTTGGGATTACACTTTTTTAGTAACAACCAGATTTTTTTGGGTTGAGTGCCATCTATAACATGTTACAACTGACCACTTTCAAAATGGCATTGTGGATTCATATCAGATGAAGTAGATTGGATGGTGATTAATGATTACATTCTTCATGATGTATACTGCTGGTTTATCTGACCAAGAAATGCTCACTAATTCAGCTTGCTTACGAGTCCCATCTATTAATCCCTCTTGTTTCTGTTACCATTTTCACAAAATTCAGATCATTGTTCATAATATGAGTATGGTATATCTGTTCCTGAATTGGCAAACAACAGGTCACTATGAATAAGTATAAATGTGAACTGTACTAATGTACATTGCCTTCACTGTAATTACAACAGAACACATGTCATGCTGGTAACTTCTTCATTGCCAGTAACAGATTCACAGTAGAACTGAGTGAGTGAGTTAAGTTTTACGCCACACTCAGATAATTCCAGCTATATGGCGGCAGTCTGTAAGTAATCGAGTCTGGACCAGACAATCCAATGATCAACAGCATGAGCAGCGATCTACGCAATTGGGATACAATGACATGTGTCGACCAAGTCAGTGGGCCTGACCACCCGATCATGTTAGTTGCCTCTTACGACAAGTATGGTTTACTAAAGATAAATTCTAACCTGGATCGTCACAGTAGAGCTGACACAAACAGGTAGCGCAAGTGGGATCCAGCCTGACAAGCTCTGGCACAGGTCCATTATATTCAAGGCTGTTGCCGTTTACATTGGACTGGTGAAAACAGTTCAGCCACAACAGTCAATCAAGTCACATGTGCCTCTCACAGCATAAAAACACATTTAGGATACCTGGGTAAAAAAATATTGAACTAGATTCAAGGACATTTTGTTTTCAGGGAGATGCTGCCAACATTGGTTGGTACAAAGTACGTTACGCACAGTCTTGTAACAGTGTCTTGATGGACCAGCATGACACTACAAGGAAGATTTACGAAAGAATATCCTCTGTGGTTTGGTTGTTGTTTAACGCTGCACTCAGCAATATTCCAGCTATATGGCAGCAGTCTGTAAATAATTGAGTCTGGACCAGACAATCCAGTGATCAACGGCATTGATCTACACAGTTGGGATATGGTGACATTTGACCACTAAGTCAGCGAGTCTGACCACCCGATCCTGTTAATTGCCTCTTACGACAAGCATGGGTTGCTGAAGACCAATTCTAGCCCGGATCTTCATGGGTCACATCCTCCGTGAACATGGGTACTGATGTGAAGTGGGGTTTGATCTGCCATACAGGCAGTCGTTGGGTTGGGTAGTCAGTGCCTTTAACCTCCCCCGCCTATAAGCTCATGTCAATCATCAACGTTGACGGTACTTGAGGATAATAATATTAGCACAGACTTGTACATATGTGTATTATGATCACCTTGTACACTGCATCTCTGCAGGAGTAGGAATGGTTGTTAAAGACATTTCATAAAGCAAGTTCCTCCGAATAGCTCCATCAAATCTAGCAGTCCACTCTATAAATGCCACCAGAATAGGATCAGCTTAAAGTGTATCTAATGGTGGAGCTATATACATGTTGAGCACTAAGTAGCCAGGTAATTTACAGCATATTACATAAACAGGGCACTGTCAGGTCCTCTTAGCTTGCATTCCATTCCACAACAGATCCAACAGTAATGGAGTGAGTGAGTCAATGACACCAGTTTCTCTGCTCTGTTTGCATATGAGCATACAGTATATTACATATCTTGTGCCACTGCATTCAAGTCAGTCAATCAATGATGCCCTCTGAGCTTACAGTACATTTCACAACTGGCACAACAGAATTGAAGTGAGTCAATCGATGGCATGAAGCATCTCTGCTCTGTATGCATATGAGCATACAGTATATTACATATCCTGTGCCACTGTATTTAAGTCAGTCAATCCATGACGCCCTCTGAGCTTACAGTACATTTCACAACTGGCACAACAGAATTGAAGTGAGTCAATCGATGACACAAGCATCTCTGCTCTGTATGCATATGAGCATGCAGTATATTACATATCCTGTGCCACTGTATTTAAGTCAGTCAATCCATGACATTATCTAAGCTTACATTCCATTCCACAACAGGGCCAACTGTACTGAAATGAGTCAATTGATGACACAGTCTGAGCGTACAGTACATTCCACAACACATCTGAGCATACAGCTCAATAACAGGTCCCACATTTGTGTTACACAGGCATGTGTACAGCTGAACGTTAGGCCGTCTTGCGCTGAGCTTCATGGGAGTAGTGGTGGAAGGCGAAGGTGACTGCAGAGTTCCACGCTGCCTTGAGGGCCATGTCTGGCAAGCCCTTCTTATCAGCACAGTGGTTCCATTGAGACAAGTCCGAGTTGCAGTCCGTGTCCGGGGCAGGGGGCTTCACCTGGATGTTGTTTACACACCGACGACACTTGAACCTGGAACACACAATCAGCATAGTGAGTGAGTTAACATTTTAAGTCACAACGGCAATATTTCAGTCATATTGTGACTATCACAGTCAGCATAAGTGTTTGTTGTTTATTCTAAGATGCTTCGGTGAAAGATCAAAGGCACCGACAGTACTTTATCAGATGATAATGTGCACTTTTTGCATTACATCACAATGTAATGGCGTCACTGCGCCATTCTAGTCTGCCCCCTCGTAATCGAACACTTTTGCATTACGTCAGAATGTAAGTGACGTCACGATGCAAGTCAGTTGTCATCGCTTCGTACGGCCTCCTACAGTAAACTACTCCGTGTTGCATCTCGTTTCTTGGTTTGCAGTTGCTTCACGCAGATAACATCACTGGTGGATTCATTACGCTTTTGTTTTCCGACAGTTAAAATGTCTCAATTCGACAGACAGGTTTTCAGTGACACGGCAATGTTCGCAATGTTTACATTCCCACAATGCAATCGTGGAATCGTGCTTTAACTATAATAGTTCAGGGCGAAAGTGTGCTTTATTACGCTATACATGGTGGTAGAGTGAACTGTATTTCTTAAACAGCATCAGCAATGTTCCAGTTATATGACAGTGATCTAGGAAAATAAATGAGCCTGGACCAGACAAACCAGTGACTGATATTATTGTTGAGGTACGATGAGTCTGACCACCTGTTCCTTTAAGGTGCCTCGTATGATCAGCATAGGTTGCTAGACACCAATTCAAACCTATAATCCCATTATTGTTCATGCATGCTACAATTATTTAACCTTAATGTTTCAAACAGGTGTGCCATGTGATTCTCAGTATTTGTCATTTTGCATCAGTTATCAATATCTACTTGAATACTCATTTCTCAAGGGCAACAGTGCATGTGTCAAGCATGAGCTACAGGGGAAAAGCTGTGTCCTGTTAGATGGATATGGATTCATCCATTGCATGTCTCTTGTCTTCAGACAATGTTTTCTGACTGATTTTTCAAAGTATATTTAGCATTGTAATCAAGTAGTTTCAAACCCTGCAATCGTCTGGCACAGCCACGTTTTGAGTCGTAAGCAATAAGTGCAGGAAGTAAGTAGTGCAGGATTAGTTTTCATGCCACGGTCAATTTTGTTGTCAATGGTTCAAAACATAAACATCAACGCCTAATGAATTTCCCCAACGAACCCTCATTTTAGATGGTTAAAATGACATCAGGGTGACCTTGGCCCCGTTTCACAAAATGAATGAGTAGTGATCTTAAAGTGATCTTAACTCCCATACTTGAACACTGACTTACAATAGTTGTAGTGCTAAGGTCATCTGAACTCCCATACTTGAACATTGACTTACAATAGCTGTAGCGCTAAGGTGATCTTAACTCTCGTAATTGAACATTTACTTACAATAGCTGTAGCGCTAAAGTGATCTTAACTCCCATACTTGAACATTGACTTACAATAGTTGTAGCGCTAAAGTGATCTTAACTCCCATACTTGAACATTGACTTACAATAGTTGTAGCGCTAAGGTGATCTTAACTCCCGTAATCGAACACTAGCTTACGATAGTCGTAGCGTTAATGTGATCTTAATTCCCATACATTAACATTGGCATACGATAGTCGTAGCACTAAAGTGATCGTAACAAACATACTTTAACACTGGCTTACGACAGTCGGAGGACTAAGATTGCTTTGTGGAATAGACCAGTGAACTTACTTGTCATGAGTATCACTGGTGGTAGTCTCGTTGAGTTTGAAGAGATCTTTGAGCTCATCGAGACTGAAGTGTCTCTCCACATCCTCCTCGTTGTCCACGACACAGCTGCTGAGGGCCTTCTTGTGAGCCTGGCGCTGGAAGATCTTCTCCTCAATCGTGCCAGTCTGAAATTCACACCCACAATCACTCACCCTACTCTTAGTGTAATATACAGAGATTATGACACTAGCAAGTGTGTCACATGACATATGAAACAAGTGTGAAAGTTTGTATTGTGAGAGCGAGGACAATTCATAATTTTGCACAAGTTTTGTGTAAGTCGTATGTCACACTTGCTCGTGTGTAATAATTTCTTTATTATCGATTTTATTCATGTACATTTGTGCAGTAAAATACGGTAAGCAAGTGTGATGGCCCTCTTCATTGACATCACGTTTTAATTGTTTAATGACTAGTTGTCACCTTCTCCATCTGACAAAGACGATTATCAGTTAAACACAATATTGTTTCAGATTCAACATTACAACTGCTGTACAACAATATTATTAAAATTTAAATATTTTAGATATTTAAATACTTACCTTACCATAGGTCTTATGCATATTACCTCAAGCTCCGCTTAAAGAGATCAGACAGTCGTTGATTCGCCATTCTGTAGAACGGCCACCTCGTGTATCGACGAGTGTACAGGCAACGGAAGTGACGTGATCTCCCCTCCCGCGCACGCGCGGTCCATCCAAAATCACTTTTACTGACCAGGTCCGAAGAGCCCAGAGAGGGGAGGAGCATCCAGCGTTGGGAGGGAGTTACCGCCCTATGGTAAGGTAAGTATTTAAATATCTAAAATATTTAGATTTTAATAAATTTTAACTTACCTTACCATAGGTCTTATGCATATGGATTCGACAGTAGGACGGCGGTGTCGGGCTCCAGAGGACCGCCCCACGAAAACCCACATGCCAAGGGAAAACCAGAAGAAACTACTGAATCACCAGACTGTCGCAGGAGGCCTGGAACAGGAGACAGATAGTAACTAAAGGCAACCCTAAGGAAAACAAATACACCCAGAGTGTAAGTTAACCTGAAGACCAGAAGGTAAGAAGAAGTAGTTACCTAATGGGCGGTAGGACGGGTGAGTTGCTGAGCAACCACCAGTGGACCAAACGATTGAAGACCTTCCACGCCCCCTCGACGGCCAAATCTCCATGAGGTAATGACTAGCGAAGACAGTAGAGGACTTCAAAAAACCCTCCATGATGGCTGGAGCGGTGCAGTTTCTGTGGAGAGCCATGGTGGATGCCAGAGCCCTAATCTCATGCGGATTAGTGGCTGTAGGATGAGGCAGATCTTGCGCATCGTAGGCGGTCAGGATGGTAGTACGGAGCCAGAGCGCAAGCGTATTCTTATTAACTTCACCTTTGGCCACAGAAGACAACGGAATGGGTCTCTTACGAGACTGCCTCCTGGAAGATGACTTGGCAATATAAATCTTAAGTGCCCTCACGGGACAAAGCAGCTGTTCCTCAGCGTCGTGAGGTCCTAGAATGGAAGACAAAGGAGGGATGGAGAAGATCCTATCCGGTTGTCCCGGCAGCTGGTTCTTGGCCACGAAATCCCAAAGCAGTCCGAGATGAACAAGACCATGCCGTGACTGCTCAAAACGCACCCTGGTGACATCCAATGCGTGGATCTCACTAACCCTAGCTGCTGTGGCCAGGGCCAAGAGAAAGGCTGTCTTCCTGGAGAGGTTCTCAAAAGAAGCCGTGTCCAAGGGGCTCATAAGGGGACCTCTCAGATGACTTAAGAACGACGTTTAGGTCCCAAGCCGGAGGGCCGAGCTTTGCCTTCTGGTCCTCCAGCTTAAACGCTTTGAGGACGGCGATGAGTTCTGGCACCTTGGAAATCTTTTGTCGTGACTTGACCGCCAGAGCGGAGTTAAGAGCCGATAAATAAGTTCCTATAGTGTTGCCCTTGAGACGCCGGGACTTCGAAGAAAGAGAAGGAACTCTGCTATAAACTGAGGAGAAGCCTTCAACGGGTCCTTGGACTTCTGTGCACAAAACTTCTCAAAAGAAACCCACTTATCATCATAGAGTGATCTTGTGGAGACTCGATGAGCACGAGCAATAACCTTGGCGACACCGTGGAGAAGCCCTTGGCCTTCAGCCTTTGCAGATGATCCAACCGCACAGATGAAACCGAGTCGGATCGGGATGCCACTGTCGACTGTGGGGATGCCTGAGCAGGTGAGGCCAGTCTGGTAACTGTTGCGGACTTCTTTCGTGAGACGGCGCGAGATCTGGGAACCAGGTTCTGGCTGGCCACCAAGCGCGACCAAAAGCAGGCGAATCGTCTCTGTTCGCTTGACCTTTGCTATTACCGCTGGCAACAGAACTGGTGGTGGAAAGGCATGCGACACGCCCAGACCCTCCCACGACAAGGACATGGCGCCGACCGCCCATGCCGCTGGATCTGGAATGGGAGACACGCATTACAACGGCAGCTGTGTGTTGAAGCGAAGTCGCAAACAGGTCGATCAGAGGAGGCGTGGACTGTGACAAAGAAGTTTGAACGCTTCTGGATGTAGCATCCACTCTGTTGGAGAGCGGTTTGCCCGGCCTTGAGAGCGTCTGCCAAAACGTTCTTCCACCCTGGGATGTGTCGGGCTCTGGCGCTGATGCCATTGTCGTCCAGGAGACTGGCCAGCTGGAGCGTCTGCTCCAACAACTGTTTGGACCTGGTCGTTCCCTGATTGTGAATCAACCACACCACCGTGGAATTGTCCGACGCTATCAGGAGCCTGGTGTTCCGCAACAGAGGCACCCAGTGTCGAACCGCTAAAATGACTGCTTGCAGCCCCAAGTTGTTGATGTGCCATCCTAGCTCGGTGCCTGACCACAGCCCCGAGGTGGTCTGGTCGTTGAGGTGAGCACCCCAACCTTGAAGAGAGCGCATCTGAACAGTTCGTGATCGTGAACAAACTCTGTCAAGGAGACTCCTGCGCAGACGCTCGACTCGACAGTCCACCAACGGAGGTAAGCGTGGAGATGCAGGGGCAAAAGAACCTCAACTGAAGGTCGTCCGCCTGGATGTAAGGCAACAGGAGCGCTGTAACGGCGAAGCATCAAAGCGACCTCTGAGCGTCAAGTCCTGGGCTGAGGTGAGGAGACCTAAGAGGGACTGCCACTCCCTGAGCACGAAGCGGCTGGGATAGACCTCGGTTGGCTTAAACTGACAATCTTTCTCCAGCGATCTAGCGGAATCCTGACAAGGTCGCAATGTGTCAGGAAGAAGCCTCCGATAAACGTTAGTTCCTGGGACGGCTCCAGGTGGGATTTGTCTATGTTGATAATCCATCCCAGTTGCTGCAAGAGATGAATGGCAAAGTGCATCTGTTTGCGAAGCAACTGAGGGTCGAGGTGGTTCAAGAGACAGTCGTCTATATAAGGGTCGAAGTCGATGCCCCTGGGAGGAGGAACCGGGTGATCAGCGAGGTAATCCGAGTAAAAAGCCACGGGGCCGTGGAAATTCCAAATAGAAGCACTTTCCACTGGTAGTGGGACCCGTTGAAAAAGAACCTCAGGTACTTTCTGTGACGATGGTAAATGGGCACATGCAGGTAGGCATCCTGAAGGTCGAGGCTGGCCAACCAGACCCTGGGCGCAAGCTTGGCTCGTAGCTGTTCCAGGGACACCATGCGGAAGTGAGGCGGTTCCGGAAGATAACGGTGGTTGAAAACTGCCATGTTGTGAATCATGCGTAGTTTCCTGAGTCCTTCTTGGGAACCAGGAAGATTGGTGAGTAGAACCCGGGGACTGTCGGGGTCTAGCACTGTCTCTATAGCTTGTTTGGCGTAACAGAGTGTGGATGCTGTCTGCTAGCAGTAACTGTTGGTCTGGAGCATACACGCGACTGGGGCGTTGAAGTCAGAGGCGCGACACGGCGATTGGCAGCTTGTAACCGGTCCTGAGAATGTTGGTGATAAACGGGTCTTCCAGGATTGTCCAATTGGGCCAGAAGATCCCCAGTCTCCGCCTACTGGAGTAGATCGAACCGGCACGACTGGGGCAGGAGGTCCCAGTCGTGTTGGGTCGCAACTTCAGCTTAATCGGGCAGTAAGGCGCCTCCCCTACCCTGCCTGCCGGGCGTCGAAGGGGTCGGGGACGATCCTGCTGACGGCGCTGAAAAACAGGTTCGGATCTGCCACGGCCACGTCCTCTGCCAGAGGCGTCGCGGACGGAGTCTCTTCTCGGGACGTAACGGCGCTTCCCTCTACCCCTTGCAGATGATCTGCCACGAAAGGCCGAACTCAATGCTTCGAACGTAGACAAAGAAACCTCCGTATTGGTAAGCTCTGCGTGTTCCTTATACACCTCCGGAATGCCGTCATTAAAGAGGAAACGAGACGCAAAAGGGGCTCTTAACAGTTTCCTTTTAAACTCTTCCTGCCAAGAACAGGGCTCCAGGAAACCCATCCGCCGAACAACCGTTGTCATGGCCAGAGCCGCCCGGAGGTGCGCCAGCAAATCATGCAACAGGGTGGTAAGATGTTCTAACCTTGACGTGTTGTCTTCCGTCAAATCCCAAGCAGCAGCCGAAGTTGCCGAGGCCAACGCTGATACCGGCTTCAACATCCGCTTGAGTTCTGCATCAATGGCCAACATCTTGGAGTCCTGCACTCGGTAAGATGTCTGTGGGGAAGCCGGTAAGCGCTTGAGGGACTCATCATGAGCCGCGCCTCCATCGGCAAAATCCAAACTATGAATCTTGTAGTCCCCTTTGCGTGACTTAGGAGCCTTAATAGTGGTATTGAGAGACAAAGTAGCAAAATCAGCGTCCAAAGAAGCCACAGCATCGGCCACCATCGGGTGAGGCGGGAGGAGTAACTCCGGAGAAGACCGAATAGCCTTCGGGTCGGCCGAACCTGAAGAGGGAGAAGGACAATCAGGCAGTCTGTCGGCAATCCAGTCGAACACAGCAGAGAGAGGGAGGTAGGTGCCCCTATCATCATCATCATCCTCTTGCAACATTTCCTCATTATAATCGGGAGAAAAATAGCGCTCCTCAGTGTCCTCCCAGGACACGGTAGGAGCAGTAAATCGTTGACCCGAAGCAGCAGGCTTCGGTGGGCGCACCGATGACAACTGAGAAGCAGCACTCAAAGTAACTGTCGGGGAACGTGGACGTCGTGGCGAGCGGCGAACAGGAGGTGAACTTGAACGGGACCGACGGTATCGCCTACCATGCATCAGTGACCATGAGCGCCTCTCCCTATCCTTGGAACGTACGGGAGAGCGAGACCTTGAGTCAGACCGACGACGGCGAAGAGAAGTATCCGAACTAAGACGAGGACTCCTAGACCGATGATGCTGCCGAGGATCGTCGAGAACGATGGGAACGCTCGGCGTCCTGACGTCGGGAACGCTCTTCCATTAACTGACGTTGTAGGTCCTCCTCTCTAGACACTGTAGCCTTCCTGGGGGATACGGTAGTCTGCCAAAGGCGTCGGTGTTGGCGCTGGCGTCGGTACAGGCGTGGGCGTGGGCGTCGGCGTCCGCATGGGCGTAGGCGTAGGCATCGACGTTGGTTGAAGCAACAAGTCAGCAACGGGAGAATCAAGTGCCACAGGCGTCGGCGCAGGAACAAAGCTAGGCAACGGCGCTGGAACGGTGCTAGCTTGGGCTCCGGCAGCTGCCGGCAAAAGGAGCGTCCGAAGCAACTTCTGAACCTCCGGATGCGACAAAGCGTCCGGGTGGGATAGGTCAACAAAGGCGTCAGACGGGCGCTTGGCTTCAGACGTCAGCAAACGAGGCGCAGGGGTGGACGGCTGATCTATCACCGGAGAAGAGTCCGTCCGACCGCACGAGGGGAGAAGACCGAGTCCACAGAGGAAACAGGGAAGACATTCTCCTCTTCCGTTGTGACAAGCGCTTCTTCTTGGCGCTGAGGTAGGCCTTGAAATCTCGCGCCGGACAGCTGAGTACAAAAGTGACAGCGCTTCGTCAATGGAACAGGCAACAGTCGCACAGTCTGGGCACCAGGGGTGTGGGTCCTTGGCAGACTTCTGCACCTTGCAGATGCAACAAAACTGCCGGGTCATGCACACAAAAAGCTGTAACACACAAATGTGAAACGTAAAAACATAGAAACATAACCCCTGCAGACGAAAAAAATGGAAGCACCCCTACAACAAGAATGGGCACGCCCAAGTAAGTGGGACAGTCGTGTAAACAACCAAGATGGCTGCCCCCACACTGAGCCGAAAAAAGCGTGAAAACACACACAAATTAGGCAAGAAATAAGAAGGTACACATAAACAAGCATGAAACAAAAGGTGGAAGAACCCTAGAGGTATCAAAACACCCAAACATGCCACGTGGAAAAACTCAGAACGTGGGGACACACCCCAACCCGAAGTGAAGAAAAAAAAAAAAAACACGAGGCAGCCAGGTAAGTGAAGTTACTTGTAAATTATGTTCTTCACCCACAGAGAAGAGACATAAGATAGAAAACATACATACCAATAACTTTAATATCTGAAAACTATTAGTAAGTGTCTGAAAACTTAGCGAAACAAAAACGTCTGACAAGCAAGACGCTTGAAGTAAAAGTGATTTTGGATGGACCGCGTTTGCGCGGGAGGGGAGATCACGTCACTTCCGTTGCCTGTACACTCGTCGATACACGAGGTGGCCGTTCTACAGAATGGCGAATCAACGACTGTCTGATCTCTTTAAGCGGAGCTTGAGGTAATATGCATAAGACCTATGGTAAGGTAAGTTAAAAATTTATATCGTAAAACTCACTGCAATAAATCTGTATATAAAACACTGTTTCTTTTGTCCATCACGCCAGCATCTAGCCATAGCTTGATCGTCATTGGCTGGATTCCAGTCAGGGTCAAACATCACCAGTCGATTGGCTCCTATCAGGTTCAGGCCACACCCACCTGCCTTGCTACTCAGCATGAAGATGAACTCTGGACTCTACAGAAATATACACAAATGTTTGACAATGAAAGTATGTCTTGATGATTCTTACTATCCCTGGGGCGGTGGGGTAGCCTAATGGTTAAAGCGTTGGCTTGTCACGCCGAAGACCCGGGTTCGAATCCCCACATGGGCACAATGTGTGAAGCCCATTTCTGGTGTCCCCTGCCGTGATTTTGCTGGAATATTGCTAAAAGCAGCGTAAAACCAAACTCAGTTAGTCAGTCAGTCTTACTATCCCTACCTTTGTGACACAGTATGTATCGGTATGTTAATCTAAAGACATTGGGAATGATGTGTTTCATTGCAAATAATTTGTTGTGTAACTCTACACTGTATCAGCAATATGATGGCAGCCTGGAAATAATAGAGTTTGAATCTGATAACAAATGATTCATATTAGGAGCAATACTCCTCCCCATGGGCGTAAGATGATATACAATCAACCAAGTTCCCAAGACTTATCGGAGTATCCTTATGTCACCTTACACAGTTCCTTAACGTGTTCGGAACTTTACTTTGAATACCCAAGGGATTGCATTGTGATTCCAAAGACCAGTTGATGCAGGACAGATTATCTCAGTTTTCTGTTTAAATCTAGTAAAAGAGCACAACATTATTTCTGGCAATATAGTACTAAAATAGATAAAAAGATAACTAAAAATTGAGAAAAACAATTATTCCACAGTAATAGTGTAGGTAGATAAAAAATACCTTGAATGAGCGTTCCTAAAATCTACCGTAACTGTAGAATATGTTTACATTAATTTTAGCTGAACTCTTTTGATGTGTGTCAATAAATCATCACAACAAACTGACTCAATCTGATTCCATTTAAATAACAATGATCTTATACAGCAGAAAACTTACAGTAGGGTCATTGAATCTTTCTACTATTTTGGCTCTCTTCTTGATAGTCATTGATCCATCCAGTCTCACATGCTGGTAGCTGAAACACAACACGCTATATCAGGGGAGACAACTCTTTCATGGCCAGAAAACCAGCTCACAAGACACCCATTTACTTCTAAACTCCAAAATTTGTGTTTGTTTGTTGTTTAACACAACTGTCAGCAATATTTCAGCTATATGAAGGCGGTCTGTAAATAACTGAGTGTCTTTATTGAGGTCAGAGTAGAACCATAGACATACATTTTCGTTTTCATTCCATTCCAGTGCATAAGTGTACTAAATATCTCAGGCATGAATCAATTTCTTATAATGTACAGTTTGTAGGAGTTGCCCAGTTCTGTAGTATTGTTCATGAATTAATACTTTTTTTGTCTACATTTATGTCTGTGTGAAGAGACATGGTGTTGTGACAAAACCTGCACAAGTGTAGCACTATCTTTAAAAACTCGATCATAACTTTGTTTCACGAAACTTTGTATCCCACCACCTCTCCAACTGTCTCCGCTGTTTGATCCTTTATTTAAATGTTATGCAACCATGCAGAGGGCTGACCACTTCAGTGTTTATCTCATTCAAGCGATATATGGTGACAGCCTCTATCTGTTGTTTGGAATGCCTCGTGTGAACCTTTTTAGAGTTTTTATGATTGGATTACACATCTGGACCATGACTTTCTCGATCTTGTAAGCTGACATCTTATTGGTTGGATGAAAGGTCATTCTGATGTGACCAATACTGACATGCCCTGTTGTGGTAGGCTAGCAAGCACTAAGGGGGTGGTGGGGTAGCCTTGTGGTTAAAGCGTTGGCTCGTCACGACGAAGACCCGGGTTCGAATCCCCACATGGGTACAATGTGTGAAGCCCATTTCTGGTGTCCCCCGCTGTGATGTTGCTGGAATATTGCTAAAAGCGGCGTAAAACGAAAACTCAGTCAGTCAGTCAGCAAGCACTAAGATATGATGTTATTGTGATCGGGTACTGTTAGATCATCTTACACTTGGTCTCCAGAAATATTACACATTTCCTTAGTGACTGTACATTTGTGACATGAACCCAACTTTTCTTTTAATCATTAACTAGAAATGTTTAATTGTTTCTACTTTGCACTTTAAAGACATTGTTTCAACAATATTACTATAAGTACTATAAGTTTGGACTGCTGTAAGTATTTGATAAACTGGATGATTGAAGGTAATCAACATGGAAGCGCATGGCACCTATTCTGTGCTTGTGTGAATAACACAATCCTACTGGCAAACAACTTGGACCGGCGCAGAGAACATGTTTACGAGAGGTAGGCGGTGCACATTCATTTCATGACGATGAAATTGATTCCGCGCATAGCTGCACAAGCCTTGACTCTCACCTCAGTGTAGCAAGTCGCACTACACTTGATCACGGACAACCTGGGGCCCCTTCGCTAACAATGGCAAGCGCCAATGGGCAACACCCATACATGCTAATAAGGGTCAATTGTCAGGTCGGTGCTCAACTTATCCTTGTTTGCCAGTAGTCACTCCTGGTGCTGCCAAATCTTCAACAAACTGAATGTCTGAGTTTCTAACACCCTGTACTCACTTCCTCTGCCTGCAGAGTGTCTCGAACAGGTCGAGAGTCTGGGTGTAGTTAGACACCAGGACCACCTTGTCGTTGCTTGTTGACTTCACCACAGCCAGCAGGGTGTCGAGCACCACAAACTTCCCTACAAAGGGAGACAACTGCATATCAACACATGGAATGTTGCACTTCATATTTCCCAGTGCATAAACAAATATAATAAAAATATATCTGAAAAATAATGTAGAATACAAATAATGCAGTGAGAGTTGCCTCCCTTAGGCATGTCAGTAACCTGTGATTGGGGGTTTGAATCCCTGATTCAACTTGATTATGTTCCAGGGTTGGTCAGCACCATTTCCTTAAAATGATAGCATGAAAGTTGTTCACCACTTTAGGTATACTTCCCACAACATGCTGACATGCAGTAACCATTGAAACACTGTTCAAAGCAGAATTACAACCATTCCAGGTAAGGAAACTAATCACATGGAGATGTCACACTTGCAAGCTGATCTTGGTCTGCCACATACTACTAAAACCAACTACATATATTTCCAGAATGTGCAGTGAATGTTTCATTCATAAACTTTCATCGTTCTTACTTGGGTCCAACGATTATCTAAACCATATTAAAGTCAATGAAACATCTAGTTAAACTTTAGAAATTATGTTTCTTATTGTTATGTGTGTTAAAACAAGACATAAACAACTGATGCCGTTTCCTGATTCCTAAAACTGCAATGTAAACAACAGTAATTATCCTTGATAATAAGATTAATCGGTGCCTGTTACGTTTGCAAAATATTATGATTGTGTCCCCGATATTACAATTGCAAATTGTTTATTGATTGATTACTGATCTCTGATTATCAATCTGCATATTGTGAGTGATAACCAGTGCTACCTCATATATCCACTCACCTGATAGTTCTGGCCTGATCTTCTTAAGGTTATGACCTTGAGGGAAATAGTCTAGGCCTCCTTCAAACCCGTCTGCTCCTTGCACACACTTCTCATACACCAAGTCGGGGTCTGTGGGTAGGATGATGTCATCTAGTTACTAAGATTGATGCAACCTCAGGTACGAGTAAAATTAACTCCAAGTAGGAGGCTCTTTCACCCATTGGCTTAAATCAAATGCTATTTCTAATAAATGTTCATGTAAATCATGTGCTTGCTGATCTTTGGTGCCATGAACGTCACTCAGAGAGCAGCCACATGATATAATGGAACATCCAGTTTCCAGCATAAACTGTGACAGTGTGGGACTAACTCATCACATAATCTATACACTTCTGGCCAGAACCATGGGGAAACCGTGTTGTCTTCCAAACAACTGTCACTGACAACAGTGTAGTAACTGAAAAAAGAAAACGAAAAGATTTGCTTCTGTTTGATATGATTTCCTATATCCAGACATGAATGACTTACGATTGCAGAGTTTCTTTAGCTGAGTGATGGCCGAGAGGCTGCTGACGGCCATTTTACTGTTAGATGTCAGATCACACTCAGAAGACTTGGAGGACACAAACTGTTTGTACAGGGCTGACTGTAGAGGCGTGAGTTTACAGCAGACCACCAGCTCAACTGTATCGATGGAAGCAAACACATGGTGAATGGCAACTCTAGGCTGTATTCACCAATACATCATCTCTATGTCAAACATCAAAGCTATTATATGTTCCAAACTGTTATGGCAAGTCAGGGCTGTCCTGAAGTTATATTCATCAGCTGTAGGAGTCCATGTAAAAATATAGTGTTATGGAAAAGTACTCACAACTGATATTTACAATGTCTAGAAATATTGTGTACAAAACTCAAATAAGTTAAACATGCTTCGCAGATGCTGATCCACATTATCAATTACAAATGAACCAACTTCAAATATCATAATATTTTTTCTTTCAGGACTAGTTGGTTAGTTGGTTTGTTGTTAAACGCCACACTCAGCAATACCCCAGCTATATGGTGGCGGTCTGTAAATAATCGAGTCTGGACCTGACAATCCAGTGATCAACATCATGAGCATCATCCTACGCATAATTGGGATCACGATGACACGTTTAACCAAGTCAGCGAGCCTGACCACCCATTAGTTGCCTCTTACAACAAGCATGGGTTACTGAAGACCAGTTCTAACCCGGATCTTCATGGGTCTTCAGGACAAGAGGACTTGATTGAACATCTCTTTGAACAGTATTCCAGTTAGCAGGGTACTGTTGTACAAAGCAACCTCAGGGCTGGGCCAGTCGTAAGTCTATGTTAGGTCTACTCCCATTTGCGAGAACTCCCAGTTGCGAGACTCCCAGTTGTGAGACAGTGGAGAAGGTAAGTAGTAAAGAAAACACACCTTACTCCCCTATCTGATAGAATGGATTAACCCCAGCTAATTAGGGATTAGCTATTTAACTGAATCTTGTGGAGGTAGCTTAAAAGATAAAGTACTTAACCTACTCAGGTAAATGGCTTTAAAAAATAAACACTTTGTGTAGGTAACTTCGTGATCATTTGAAAGAGAAATTATCTAGAAATTATCTAGCAATAACTGTTGTAACTATAATTAATCCAAATGTATCTTGATGCAGTCGGCAAACTGCTGAAAATATGAAAAGTGTCAAATCTCCAAATATGGACCCATGTAAAAAAGTGTTTTATAATGACACACAAACATCATAATAACGCAAATCATCAAAATGTGTGAATAAAAAAATGATAACGAAGTATTTAATGAACTATTTCTTCTGTGTAAATATAATGATAATCTTTTTCAGTATTTCAGTATTTATCTTCTTCTTTATTGAAAACAATAAATGCTCTTCAATGAACAATGTCTTCTGTGTCTCATTAATGAACTATGCCTCCTGCGGGTACTCTTCAGCAACAGGGCTGTTCCCACTTTCATCGTAGGGATTGGGAAACACCACCTGTGTGCACTGAACCATTAATTAATGTGTCTCACAACTGGGAGTTCTCGCAAATGGGAGGACACCGCTGTTAAGGTATAGGAGTTATGATTGGCTTAGAGCTAAGATCGCTTGGTACAACGACATCCAGTACATCATGGCGTGTCAGGTTAATATAAGAAGAAAGGTTAAAGTGGTGCAGCTATCAGATGTTTAACACTTCCATGACTTTTCGAAGCTCTCTTATCACTAAGATAGTCATAAGTTAATGTTAATGTATGGCACTTACGACTTTCTTAGCACTAAGAGAGCTTCGAAAATCTAGGCCCAGAGGTATGGTGATGACAAATCTATGAACATCACTCGGGCAAACCAGGATTCGAACTCATAGATTTCCAGCGTGACACAGCTCCTGGAGCACATGGAATTGCTGCACTAAGACAACAGGGCCCACGTTCTGAATATTCTAACTCAAATCTAAGTAGTATGATGGATGAACTCACTTTTAACTGGCAGGTACTTTGTGAGAAGAGCTTGTGTTCTCCTGATAATGCATCTGTTCACCACAGCAGCAAGCTGAAACAGAAACACTTTACACTAGCAAACAACTACAGACATTTTGAAATTCCAGTTCTGCATAAAGTTTCTATGCCCCTAAATATGGAGATAGTAAATATTTGAACACTGCATTCCCTAACATTTTAGTATTTGTCGGTTTTCTTGTTGTTTAATGCCTAACACAGCAATGTTCCAATTATATGATGGGAGTGCGAATGTTGAAGTGCCAATGGTGACACCATACTTCCTGCAACTTCTCCTGCCCACGCCTGAAGCCCAATCTACTAGCTTGTGGGCTTTTGGGGATCACATCTAACCAGGAATCCCCTGCTGGTTTCAATGTTGAAGTGCTACTGGTGACACCATACTTCCTGCAACTTCTCCTGGCCACACTTGAAGCCCAATCTACTAGCTCATGGGCTTTTGGGGGATCAACTCTAGTGTTAGTTAATATCTAATAACTGATGATTGGTTCATTACAACTAATCAATCATCGAAAATAATTGGTTAGCGTTATTTATCAAATTTTCCTGGTTATGTTTGTTAATCCACACAAAAAATAAAGAAAAAACATGTAGTTCTGGTGAAGTTTTTGCAAATTGCACAAAATGCATTTGCAAATTTTACATCTTTAAAGGTTGAATAGTATGTTAGGAACATACATTTCCTGGAGTCTTTAAGATAAATTAAACTGGTAGTGCTTATGAAATGTAACAGACAAAACCAAACTTGTGAAAAATATTGTTAAAGCAAACAAGTGTTCCAAAATTGTTTGTGTTCGATTATGAGAAAACATGATTGATTGCTTGGTCGTTAAGTCATTGCGACCAAACTTCGATTATTTCAATTAATCGAACCACCACTAATCAACTCTAACCAAGAATACCCCAGTGGTTTCGGTATTTAAGTGCTACCGGTGATACCGTACCTCCTGCAGCTTCTCCTGCCCCTTCTTGTGCTCGTCGTCTGTGGAATCAGCATCCCTCCCACGCAGGATGGGGTTCTCGAAGCGACGCTTGAACTCAGAGGCTGTGCCTACAACACAGGATGTTCTTGAAAGAAGCTTGGAGCAGACCAGTGAAAACCTGACTCACACACTCTGAACTTGCTACAGTTTGCCAGGACTGAACTTGCTACGGTTTGCCAGGACTGAACTTGCTACGGTTTGCCAGGACTGAACTTGCTACAGTTTGCCAGGACTGAACTTGCTACGGTTTGCCAGGACTGAACTTGCTACGGTTTGCCAGGACTGAACTTGCTACGGTTTGCCAGGGCTACGGTTTGCCAGGACTGAACTTGCTACAGTTTGCCAGGACTGAACTTGCTACAGTTTGCCAGGACTGAACTTGCTACGGTTTGCCAGGACTGAACTTGCTACAGTTTGCCAGGACTGAACTTGCTACAGTTTGCCAGGACTGAACTTGCTACAGTTTGCCAGGACTGAACTTGCTACAGTTTGCCAGGACTGAACTTGCTACAGTTTGCCAGGACTGAACTTGCTACGGTTTGCCAGGACTGAACTTGCTACAGTTTGCCAGGACTGAACTTGCTACAGTTTGCCAGGACTGAACTTGCTACGGTTTGCCAGGACTGAACTTGCTACAGTTTGCCAGGACTGAACTTGCTACAGTTTGCCAGGACTGAACTTGCTACAGTTTGCCAGGACTGAACTTGCTACGGTTTGCCAGGACTGAACTTGCTACAGTTTGCCAGGACTGAACTTGCTACAGTTTGCCAGGACTGAACTTGCTACAGTTTGCCAGGACTGAACTTGCTACAGTTTGCCAGGACTGAACTTGCTACGGTTTGCCAGGACTGAACTTGCTACAGTTTGCCAGGACTGAACTTGCTACAGTTTGCCAGGACTGAACTTGCTACGGTTTGCCAGGACTGAACTTGCTACAGTTTGCCAGGACTGAACTTGCTACAGTTTGCCAGGACTGATTTTCAGGATGTTCTGAGCAATGAGGTGAAATGGAGGTTAACGTTGCAGTCATGATCATCTTCATTTAAGTAAAACATTTGCCATCCAAGAAGTATGGACCAGAAAGGAAGACTCCAATTGTGTACCTATGTGGGAAATTGAACCTGGGTCTTCAGCATGACGAGCGAACGCTTTAAACACTAAGCTACCCCACCGCCCTAGAAATTATTGTGACTCCCAACCACATTCATCGGCTGTTACAAGCACTGAATTACAGGAGGACATACATATAAGAACATTATAGGAGGGTTGTAACAAGGACCATTTTTACCCAACATTTACCCACTAATCACAATAACATGCAGTGAAGACTCCCTGTGAGTTTAGTTTAGTTTTATGACGCTTTTAGCAATAATCCAGCAATATCACGGCAGGGGACACCAGAATGGGCTTCACACATTGTACCCATGTGGGGAATTGAACCCGGGTCTTCATTGTGACAAGCAAACGCTTTAACCACTAGGCTACCCCAAAGTCCCCCTATGTTTAGAGCTGGAGGAGATTGAAGTCAGTGTTGATAAACTACTCCTACCTAGAATGCCAGTGTTGACAAAGTGGATGAGACTGAAGTACTCAAGAAGGTCGTTCTGTATGGGCGTGCCGGACAGAAGGACTCGTCGCTTGGCGTTCATCTGACTGAGAGCCTGGTAGGTCTGGTTCTCAGAGTTCTTCAGTCGATGACCCTGTATATATACAAACACAAGTCTGATTCATAGCCTCCTACAGATCATGCAACAAGGTTGTACGTAACAAGGTATCACTTTGTTTCATTTGTTCACCAAAATAGTGAGTAAGGGAATTAGTTGGGTTTATCACAGCTTTAAAGTTTCTTGGTTTTCTGTTTAATGTAGCAATACTTGTTTACAGTGAGTGGTGAGGTGAAATTGGGTTTAACGTCGTGGTTGAGAATATTTCGCTCATATGACGACGTGCATCCATGTGTATGTGTATGTGCGGCTGCTTGTACTAGCCCAGACTGAAGCTGGTGTTATAGTGCTAGCCCACTGAGATACCATGCCGCAGTGAAGCATGAATACCCCACTCAGACGCATTATACTGACTCCGAGTCGACCAGTCCTTGATGTACCCATTAATGCCGAGAGCCAGGCAGGGACCAACAAATACCATATTTTAACGTCTTTTTGGCTCTCCGGGCTGACGCTCTAACCACTACACCACGGAGGCGGTCGTACAGTGAATGAACGGGTGAGTGACTGAGTGAGTGAGTGAGTGAGTTTAGTTTTACGCTGCACTCAGTAATATTCCGGCCATATGACAGGGGTCTGTAAATAATCAAATCTGGACAAGACAATTCAGTGATCAACAGCATGAGCATCGATGCTTTAAAAGTATTGCAGTCAGATCACAGCATGTCTTGTAGTGATGCAGGTCTCACAGAGCTATGATTTTGGGACCCTCAATCAAGTGTATGGAGCTCACTAACTTAGAAGCATAATCGGGACGTTCCACAATTCAAACAAACAATCATAGGGACCCATCTTTGCACACTACATTGCAGAGCCTTAGATGACTGGGCTGCTTGTGTCTCATGCAATGGATAAAGTAATGAAGTTCGTTTATCTTACCTTAAATGTCGCTTTCTGATTGGCTGAGCGCTCTTCTATTATTTTCAATGTACCCCGCTTACAAGCGAGTATCATTTCAATGTACCCCGCTGTCAATGGCAACTCATTTGGTACTTCGTGGTAGTAATTCTTTACCTCGAATAACATTGAATCACGTATGATGTACGGAAATTACCGATGTTTTGTGAATGCAAATCGATGGAAAGGGAGATAACTCTAATCTGTGTTTTCTTGTCAGCAAAATCTAGCAATGGCTACAAAAAGATTTGTAACCGTGCTTCAAACAATTCAAAATTAACATAAAGGTGTTCAGTAAGATAAATACGTTGTTCACTGGTCCCCTTGGGGCCCATGGGTTGATGTACCCTCAATGTTTGTTTATGTTCCCATGCCCCCCTCGTGACCAGTGAACAACCTATAATGTCAGCTCACCTCATCACATATGACCAGCCCCACTGATCCTTTGTGCAGCACGTAGGCGTGGAGTCGGAAAGTTTCATAGGAGATGATGAGGATGGGGAACATCACTCTGCGTCCTGCCTGTGACATGAAGTGAGCTAAAACAATGGATTGTAGCGGGTAAAACAATGGTTTGTAGTGAGGTCAAACAATGGATTGTAGTGAGGTAAAACAATGGATTGTAGCGAGGTAAAACAATGGATTGTAGTGAGGTAAAACAGTGGATTGTAGCGAGGTAAAACAATGGATTGTAGCGAGGTGAAACAATGGATTGTAGTGAGGTAAAACAATGGATTGTAGCGAGGTAAAACAATGGTTTGTAGTGAGGTAAAACAGTGGATTGTAGCGAGGTAAAACAATGGATTGTAGCGAGGTGAAACAATGGATTGTAGTGAGGTAAAACAATGGATTGTAGAAGGTAAAACAATGGATTGTAGTTAGCTAAAACAATGGATTGTAGCGAGGTAAAACAATGGATTGTAGCCGGGTAAAACTGGATTGTAGTGAGGTAAAACTGGATTGTTGTGAGGTAAAACTGGATTGTCGTGAGGTGAAGCAGTGAATTGTTGTGAGGTAAAACAGTGGCATGTAGTGAGGTAAAACACGGTGAAACAGTTGATTGTAGTGAGGTGAAACAGTGGATTGTAGTGAGGTAAAACAGTGGCATGTAGTGAGGTAAAACAGTGGATTGTCGTGAGGTGAAACAGTGGATTGTAGTGAGGTGAAACAGTGAATTGTAGTGAGGTAAAACAGTGGCATGTAGTGAGGTGAGGCAGTGGGTTGAAGTAAGTGAAGCAGTGAATTGTAGTGAGGTGAAGCAGTGGGTTATAGTGAGGTGAAGCAGTGGATTGTAGTGAGGTGAGGCAGTGGGTTGAAGTAAGTGAAGCAGTGGATTGTAGTGAGGTGAAACAGTGAATTGTAGTAAGGTGAAGCAGTGGATTGTAGTGAGGTGAAACAGTGAATTGTAGTGAGGTGAAACAGTGGATTGTAGTGAGCTGAAGCAGTGGATTGTAGTGAGGTGAAGCAGTGGATTGTAGCGAGGTGAAACAGTGGCATGTAGTGAGGTGAAACAGTGGATTGTAGTGAGGTGTAACAGTGGATTGTAGTGAGGTGAAGCAGTGGATTGTAGTGAGGTGAAACAGTGAATTGTAGGGAGGTGAAGCAGTGGATTGTAGCGAGGTGAAACAGTGGATTGTAGTGAGGTGAAACAGTGGATTGTAGTGAGGTGAAGCAGTGGATTCTAGTGAGGAAAAACAGTGGATTGTAGCGAGGTGAAACAGTGAATTGTAGGGAGGTGAAGCAGTGGATTGTAGTGAGGTGAAACAGTGGATTGTAGTGAGGTGAAGCAGTGGATTGTAGTGAGGTGAAACAGTGGATTGTAGTAAGGTGAAGCAGTGGATTGTAGAGAGGAAAAACAGTGGATTGTAGTGAGGTGAAACAGTGGATTGTAGTGAGGTGAAGCAGTGGATTGTAGTGAGGAAAAACAGTGGATTGTCGTAAGGTGAAACAGTGGATTGTAGTGAGGTGAAACTGAATTGTAGTGAGGTGTAACAGTGGATTGTAGTCAGGTGAAGCAGTGGATTGTAGTGAGGTGAGGCAGTGGGTTGTAATAAGTGAAGCAGTGGATTGTAGTAAGGTGAAACAGTGAATTGTAGTGAGGTGTAACAGTGGATTGTAGTGAGGTGAAACAGTGGATTGTAGTGAGGTGAGGCAGTGGGTTGTAGTAAGTGAAGCAGTGGATTGTAGTAAGGTGAAGCAGTGAATTGTAGTGAGGTGTAACAGTGGATTGTAGTGAGGTGAAGCAGTGGATTGTAGTGAGGTGAAACAGTGAATTGTAGTGAGGTGAAGCAGTGGATTGTAGTGAGGTGAAGCAGGGGATTGTAGTGAGGTGAGGCAGTGGGTTGTAGTAAGTGAAGCAGTGGATTGTAGTAAGGTGAAACAGTGAATTGTAGTGAGGTGTAACAGTGGATTGTAGTGAGGTGAAGCAGTGGACTGTAGTGAGGTGAGGCAGTGGGTTGTAGTGAGGTGAAGCAGTGGATTGTAGTGAGGTGAAACAGTGAATTGTAGTGAGGTGTAACAGTGGATTGTAGTGAGGTGAAGCAGTGGATTGTAGTGAGGTGAGGCAGTGAATTGTAGTGAAGTGTAACAGTGGATTGTAGTGAGGTGAAACAGTGGATTGTAGCGAGGTGAAACTGTGGATTGTAGTGAGGTGAAGCAGTGGATTGTAGTGAGGTGAAGCAGTGGATTGTAGTGAGGAAAAACAGTGGACTGTAGCGAGGTGAAACAGTGAATTGTAGTGAGGTGAAGCAGTGGATTGTAGTGAGGTGAAACAGTGGATTGTAGTGAGGTGAAGCAGTGGATTGTAGTGAGGTGAAACAGTGGATTGTAGTAAGGTGAAACAGTGGATTGTAGTGAGGTGAAACAGTGGATTGTAGTAAGGTGAAGCAGTGGATTGTAGAGAGGAAAAACAGTGGATTGTAGTGAGATGAAACAGTGGATTGTAGTGAGGTGAAGCAGTGGATTGTAGTGAGGAAAACCAGTGGATTGTCGTAAGGTGAAACAGTGGATTGTAGTGAGGTGAAACAGTGTTGTAGGGAGGTGTAACAGTGGATTGTAGTGAGGTGAAGCAGAGGATTGTAGTGAGGTGAGGCAGTGGGTTGTAGTAAGTGAAGCAGTGGATTGTAGTAAGGTGAAACAGTGAATTGTAGTGAGGTGTAACAGTGGATTGTAGTGAGGTGAAGCAGTGGATTGTAGTGAGGTGAAACAGTGAATTGTAGTGAGGTGTAACAGTGGATTGTAGTGAGGTGAAGCAGAGGGATTGTAGTGAGGTGAGGCAGTGGGTTGTAGTAAGTGAAGCAGTGGATTGTAGTAAGGTGAAACAGTGAATTGTAGTGAGGTGTAACAGTGGATTGTAGTGAGGTGAAGCAGTGGATTGTAGTGAGGTGAGGCAGTGGGTTGAAGTAAGTGAAGCAGTGGATTGTAGTGAGGTGAAACAGTGAATGGTAGTGAGGTGAAGGAGTGGGTTGTAGTAAGTGAAGCAGTGGATTGTAGTAAGGTGAAAGAGTTGATTGTGGTGAGGTGTAACAGTGGATTGTAGTGAGGTGAAGCAGTGGATTGTAGTGAGGTGAGGCAGTGGGTTGAAGTAAGTGAAGCAGTGGATTGTAGTGAGGTGAAACAGTGAATTGTAGTGAGGTGAAGCAGTGGGTTGTAGTGAGGTGAAGCAGTGGATTGTAGTGAGGTGAGGCAGTGGGTTGTAGTGAGGTGAAGCAGTGGATTGTAGTGAGGAAAAACAGTGGATTGTAGTAAGGTGAAACAGTGGATTGTAATGAGGTGAAACAGTGAGTTGTAGTGAGGTGTAACAGTGGATTGTAGTCAGGTGAAACAGTGGATTGTAGTGAGGTGAGGCAGTTGGTTGTAGTAAGTGAAGCAGTGGATTGTAGTAAGGTGAAACAGTGAATTGTAGTGAGGTGTAACAGTGGATTGTAGTGAGATGAAGCAGTGGATTGTAGTGAGGTGAGGCAGTGGGTTGAAGTAAGTGAAGCAGTGGATTGTAGTGAGGTGAAACAGTGAATTGTAGTGAGGTGAAGCAGTGGTTTGTAGTAAGTGAAGCAGTGGATTGTAGCTAGGTGAAACAGTGGATTGTAGTGAGGTGTAACAGTGGATTGTAGTGAGGTGAAGCAGTGGATTGTAGTGAGATGAGGCAGTGGGTTGAAGTAAGTGAAGCAGTGGATTGTAGTGAGGTGAAACAGTGAATTGTAGGGAGGTGAAGCAGTGGGTTGTAGTGAGGTGAAGCAGTGGATTGTAGTGAGGTGAGGCAGTGGGTTGAAGTAAGTGAAGCAGTGGATTGTAGTGAGGTGAAACAGTGAATTGTAGTAAGGTGAAGCAGTGGGTTGTAGTAAGTGAAGCAGTTGATTGTAGTGAGGTGAAACTGAATTGTAGTGAGGTGAAGCAGTTGGTTGTAGTGAGGTGAAACAGTGGATTGTAGTGAGGTGAAGCAGTGGATTGTAGTGAGGTGAAGCAGTGAATTGTAGTGAGGTGAAGGAGTGGATTGTAGTGAGGTGAAGCAGTGGATTGTAGTGAGGTGAAAGAGTGAATTGTAGTGAGGTGAAGCAGTGGGTTGTAGTAAGTGAAGCAGTGGATTGTAGTGAGGTGAGGCAGTGGGTTGAAGTAAGTGAAGCAGTGGATTGCAGTGAGGTGAAGCAGTGGATTGTAGTGAGGTGAGGCAGTGGGTTGAAGTAAGTGAAGCAGTGGATTGTAGTGAGGTGAAACAGCGAATTGTAGTGAGGTGAAGCAGTGGATTGTAGAGAGGTGAAACTGTGAATTGTAGTGAGGTGAAGCAGTGGATTGTAGTGATGTGAAGCAGTGGATTGTAGTGAGGTGAAACAGTGAATTGTAGTAAGTGAAGCAGTGGATTTTATTGAGGTGAAACAGTGAATTGTAGTGAGGTGAAGCAGTGGGTTGAAGTAAGTGAAGCAGTGGATTGTAGTGAGATGAAACAGTGAATTGTAGTGAGGTGAAGCAGTGGGTTGAAGTGAAGCAGTGGATTGTAGTGAGGTGAAACAGTGGATTGTAGTGAGGTGAAGCAGTGGATTGTAGTGAGGTGAAGCAGTGGGTTCTAGTAAGTGAAGCAGTGGATTGTAGTGAGGTGAAACAGTGGATTGTAGTGAGGTGAAACTGGTTTGTAGTGAGGTGAAGCAGTGGATTGTAGTGAGGAAAAACAGTGGACTGTAGTGAGGTGAAACAGTTGATTGTCATGAGGTGAAACAGTGGATTGTAGTGAGGTGAATCAGTGGATTGTAGTAAGGGGAAACAGTGATTGAGAAAGCTTAGTTTTACGCAGCTGTTAGCAATATTCAGAGAGGTGAAACAGTAATATAGTGATGCATGTTTAAATAAAGACAGGTTTCAGCTTTAACTGATTAATTGTGCAAGATAACGTATATAGAGTCCTTACTCAGGTTTTTATCGATTTCACTCTTTGTGCCGCTGTCGATAGCGAGAGCTTTCACACGCCCTCCCAGCCACTTGCTGATTTCATTGTACCAGTTCTGAAACATTACAAACATAGTACTGACATCTTTTTACGCTCAGTAAATAACTGACTTCATACTGTTTCTGTGCAAGTAACAAGCTTCTTTGAAATAAATGTTTTGGTGGGAAATATCATCAGGTATCTTCACTAAACTACTTGGGCACACAACCATGGTGGCAGTCTCACCTCCACTAAACTACTGGGACACACAACCATGGTGACAGTCTCACCTTCACTAAACTACTGGGACACACAACTATGGTGGCAGTCTCACCTTCACTAAACTACTGGGACACACAACTATGGTGACAGTCTCACCTTCACTAAACTACTGGGACACACAACCATGGTGACAGTCTCACCTTCACTAAACTACTGGGACACACAACCATGGTGGCAGTCTTACCTTCACTAAACTACTGGGACACACAACTATGGTGGCAGTCTCACCTCCACTAAACTACTGGGATACACAACCATGGTGGCAGTCTCACCTCCACTAAACTACTGGGACACACAACCATGGTGGCAGTCTTACCTTCACTAAACTACTGGGACACACAACTATGGTGGCAGTCTCACCTTCACTAAACTACTGGGACACACAACCATGGTGGCGGTCTCACCTCCACCAAACTACTGGGACACACAACCATGGTGGCAGTCTCACCTTCACTAAACTACTGGGACACACAACTATGGTGGCAGTCTCACCTCCACTAAACTACTGGGACACACAACCATGGTGGCAGTCTTACCTTCACTAAACTACTGGGACACACAACTATGGTGGCAGTCTCACCTTCACTAAACTACTGGGACACACAACCATGGTGGCGGTCTCACCTCCACTAAACTACTGGGACACACAACCATGGTGACAGTCTTACCTTCACTAAACTACTGGGACACACAACCATGGTGACAGTCTCACCTTCACTAAACTACTGGGACACACAACCATGGTGGTGGTCTCACCTCCACTAAACTACTGGGACACACAACCATGGTGGCAGTCTCACCTTCACTAAACTACTGGGACACACAACTATGGTGGCAGTCTCACCTCCACTAAACTACTGGGACACACAACCATGGTGGCGGTCTCACCTCCACTAAACTACTGGGACACACAACCATGGTGGCAGTCTCACCTTCACTAAACTACTGGGACACACAACTATGGTGGCAGTCTCACCTCCACTAAACTACTGGGACACACAACCATGGTGGCGGTCTCACCTTCACTAAACTACTGGGACACACAACCATGGTGGCAGTCTTACTTTACTGGGACACACAACCATGGTGGCAGTCTCACCTCCACTAAACTACTGGGACACACAACCATGGTGGCAGTCTTACCTTCACTAAACTACTGGGACACACAACCATGGTGGCAGTCTCACCTTCACTAAACTACTGGGACACACAACCATGGTGACAGTCTTACCTTCACTAAACTACTGGGACACACAACCATGGTGACAGTCTTACCTTCACTAAACTACTGGGACACACAACCATGGTGGCAGTCTCACCTTCACTAAACTACTGGGACACACAACTATGGTGGCAGTCTCACCTTCACTAAACTACTGGGACACACAACCATGGTGGCAGTCTCACCTTCAGTAAACTACTGGGACACACAACCATGGTGGCAGTCTCACCTTCACTAAACTACTGGGACACACAACTATGGTGGCAGTCTCACCTTCACTAAACTACTGGGACACACAACCATGGTGGCAGTCTCACCTTCACTAAACTACTGGGACACACAACTATGGTGGCAGTCTCACCTTCACTAAACTACTGGGACACACAACCATGGTGGCAGTCTCACCTTCACTAAACTACTGGGACACACAACCATGGTGACAGTCTTACCTTCACTAAACTACTGGGACACACAACCATGGTGACAGTCTTACCTTCACTAAACTACTGGGACACACAACCATGGTGACAGTCTTACCTTCACTAAACTACTGGGACACACAACCATGGTGGCAGTCTCACCTCCACTAAACTACTGGGACACACAACCATGGTGGCAGTCTTACCTCCACTAAACTACTGGGACACACAACCATGGTGACAGTCTTACCTTCACTAAACAACTGGGACACACAACTATGGTGGCAGTCTCACCTTCACTAAACTACTGGGATACACAACCATGGTGACAGTCTCACCTTCACTAAACTACTGGGACACACAACCATGGTGGCAGTCTCACCTTCACTAAACTACTGGGACACACAACCATGGTGGCAGTCTCACCTTCACTAAACTACTGGGACACACAACCATGGTGGCAGTCTCACCTTCACTAAACTACTGGGACACACAACCATGGTGGCAGTCTCACCTTCACTAAACTACTGGGACACACAACCATGGTGGCAGTCTCACCTTCACTAAACTACTGGGACACACAACCATGGTGGCAGTCTCACCTTCACTAAACTACTGGGACACACAACCATGGTGGCAGTCTCACCTTCACTAAACTACTGGGACACACAACCATGGTGGCAGTCTAGCCTTCACTAAACTACTGGGATACACAACCATGGTGGCAGTCTTACCTTCACTAAACTACTGGGACACACAACCATGGTGGCAGTCTAGCCTTCACTAAACTACTGGGATACACAACCATGGTGACAGTCTTACCTTCACTAAACTACTGGGACACACAACCATGGTGGCAGTCTAGCCTTCACTAAACTACTGGGATACACAACTATGGTGGCAGTCTCACCTTCACTAAACTACTGGGATACACAACCATGGTGGCAGTCTCACCTTCACTAAACTACTGGGACACACAACCATGGTGGCAGTCTCACCTTCACTAAACTACTGGGACACACAACCATGGTGGCAGTCTCACCTTCACTAAACTACTGGGACACACAACCATGGTGGCAGTCTCACCTTCACTAAACTACTGGGACACACAACCATGGTGGCAGTCTTACCTTCACTAAACTACTGGGACACACAACCATGGTGGCAGTCTAGCCTTCACTAAACTACTGGGATACACAACTATGGTGGCAGTCTCACCTTCACTAAACTACTGGGACACACAACCATGGTGGCAGTCTCACCTTCACTAAACTACTGGGACACACAACCATGGTGGCGGTCTCACCTCCACCAAACTACTGGGACACACAACCATAGTGGCAGTCTCACCTTCACTAAACTACTGGGACACACAACCATGGTGGCAGTCTAGCCTTCACTAAACTACTGGGATACACAACTATGGTGGCAGTCTCACCTCCACTAAACTACTGGGATACACAACTATGGTGGCAGTCTCACCTTCACTAAACTACTGGGATACACAACCATGGTGGCAGTCTCACCTTCACTAAACTACTGGGATACACAACCATGGTGGCGGTCTCACCTCCACTAAACTACTGGGACACACAACCATGGTGGCAGTCTCACCTTCACTAAACTACTGGGACACACAACCATGGTGGCAGTCTTACCTTCACTAAACTACTGGGACACACAACTATGGTGGCAGTCTCACCTTCACTAAACTACTGGGATACACAACCATGGTGGCAGTCTCACCTTCACTAAACTACTGGGATACACAACCATGGTGGCAGTCTCACCTTCACTAAACTACTGGGACACACAACTATGGTGGCAGTCTCACCTTCACTAAACTACTGGGGCACACAACTATGGTGGCAGTCTCACCTTCACTAAACTACTGGGACACACAACTATGGTGGCAGTCTCACCTTCACTAAACTACTGGGACACACAACTATGGCCTTTTCAATCAAAGGGCAGCAGTCTGGGCTTTGCTTCTGTCAACATACAGTTATAGAAACATGTATTACTTATGTTCAGACACTTGTGTCTCAACAAAAACATTCTCCATAAAAAATACATAATCTTAATCGTGTTAAAAATGCAGTCAGGTATAGGCCTAGCTGTAAAATTTAAGAGGAATGAATCTTGCTTGACACTGAGCATTATTCAAATTATATCCCAAGAATAATGAAAACATAAGGACTAGGAAAATATGTTTTGAACACTACTATTCGTATCCATGTTACATGGTGCCTGTTTTGACAATGAAAAAAAATAAAAAATTGTCTACCCTATTAAGAACTGACAATTTCATGAAGAAAGTCTATAAAACAAGGAGTGTTCCATGCTTGATGTGTGTAGGTACCTACCAGTGATGTCCACATGAGTGTGATGCACTGCAGTGTCTTCCCCAGGCCCTGGAGCAGACGGAAACAATGTACATGGGAACAACAACCAAAGGGGAATAAATAAAGACACAGACAGACACAAATAGATGCACTGCAGTGTCTTCCCCAGGCCCTGGAGCAGACGGAAACAATGTACATGGGAACAACAACCAAAGGGGAATAAATAAAGACACAGACAGACACAAATAGATGCACTGCAGTGTCTTCCCCAGGCCCTGGAGCAGACGGAAACAATGTACATGGGAACAACAACCAAAGGGGAATAAATAAAGACACAGACACACAGACACAAATAGATGCACTGCAGTGTCTTCCCCAGGCCCTGGAGCAGACGGAAACAATGTACATGGGAACAACAACCAAAGGGCAATAAATAAAGACATGGTCAGACGGATCCACACTTCTCAAAAGACATACAAGCAGGTTTCCAGTTGTAGGTAACTGCTCATTTTGAGAATATTTCTGTTAAAAATTATATTTCACAAAATTATCATGGTGCAGACAGGACATATCTGATGAGTCAAAAACTCCTACGACTGGTGCTCTGTAGCAGTATTTGACCAAACACCACGATGCCAAACCTCATCACCAAGATGAATCTGGTTCATCAGGGAAATATTGGACAAGTCAAACACTGCTTGGACTAACAGCTATGACAGATGCTCCAGGTAGGTAGATTATTCCAGAATTTACCTTGGTCCCAGTGTTATTATGAAATTAATGAAAGGAATACAATACCAATGTGCAAGGCAAACAATATGAATGTTCAAGAATTGTGATTGTACCATTTCATCGGCCATGATGCAGCCATAACTCCCTTCTATCTGACAGCCTGTAATGCAGTCATACATGAACTTGACTCCCTGCAAAGGAAACAGAAGTAGGTTAAACCACAAGTCATTTCTGCTCTAGAATCTTCTCCAATATTCACTTTACTTTCCTATGATAACAATGACACCATTAGATTAAAATACTCAACCTGAGCATTTAAATATTAAAACAAAGTGTATTTATTCTTTGAAATTTATTACTGACTGACTGAGTTTTGGTTTTACGCTGCTTTTAGCAATATTCCAGCAACATCACGGCGGGGAACACCAGAAATGGGCTTCACACATTGTACCCATGTGGGGATTCGAACCCGGGTCTTCGGCGTGACGAGCCAACGCTTTAACCACTAGGCTACCCCACCGCCCCTGAAATTTATTAAAACCTTATGTCAAAATAAATATGTTTGAACACTGAGGTCATTTTAGTGTACAACCTGTGCAAGGCAAGTTATTACCTCCCTTTGATGAGGTCTCAGCACCTTGGACAGGAGAGGGTCCACCACCACATGGACGGGCTGCTTTTCTCTGGGGGAACATTAGCATCATATTATCTTCATATGACTTAACATCACTCATAAATGTCTACCACAAACACGGCAAAAAGAATACATCAGTGTGAAAATTTAAGTGTGGAATAACCATTTGACTCTCTAAAGTATAAATTGTATGGCAATATACTAAATACACTTAGCTAAAAGTCTGTCCCTGATCCTTAAAACATTAAGCAAAATTCTAATTCATAAACAGTTCCCTCCTATACTTTTAACAAACATTAAAACACAAACCTAATCTGACATTCAGAACAGTCAGACAGAATTCAGAGTACTCAGCTGGGCACACTACCGCTAAAAATTTATAACGTGTATGTCATGTGCCCTTGTATGGTATATTAGTAAAATTCTCATCATACTAATAATTCATTAACTAGACTGATTTGCCCAAATTTAACCATAAAATGATTGTTTTTTTTAAATAATCACATGAGTTAATAGGTTTTGAACCCATGAAGTTCCAGGAAAATTGCTTCATGCACTAATAAACAAACAAACAAATGTAATCATTGTTTTCATTGACTGACTGATCGATGAATTGATTGAAACAGATCATTGAGCATTAGGAGCAAATGCACTAACCACTGAGCCCATCCTGGCAGTTAGGGATGAGACAACTTCAAGTCTCATAGTACACAGACAATGAATAATCAAATGTAACATTATAAACACACAAGAAAATGAATTGAACCCTTTCAGTGTACTTACAAGTCCGCCTTGAGCTGGTCATGGGCAGACAACTCTGGTGGTGTGTACAGAATGAGGGACCCCTCTTCATAAGGGTCGTGCAGGGGTTGCCTGGTGCCCTGCCTCCGTACACCAAGGGCTCGTAATGATGAAGCTCCTGGGGAGAATAATGAATCTACAATAGGGAATCACCTGATGGCCGAAGCAGTGGGATCAGCTGATCATTCATTTTATGTCATGTTCTGTCATTTTTGTTGGAGCTTTGCAATTGGTCAATTAGGACTTGCCCAAGATGTTTAAATGTCAAACTTTTAAACATGAATCATATTTTCATTGTAAATGCATACTCAAATCTCTCTATCACTGATTAGGCTACATGCATGCAATTTAGTATGGCATGTAGCTGATGAGGCGGGCAAATGTGAAGGTCATGCATGCAATGTGTGAATTTTGTTGGCCTGTATATGTTAGGATTTTTGACAGCACAAACATACTGTATTTTGTCAGATACAGAAGCTATATAGTTTATATACATATATAAGGGTAATTATCAACTCCAATTATTCATCATATGAAATCAAATAATTTATTCACACATTATAAAATCTCTCTAATGACACGGCTAAGTTGGAAGGTAAACAGTCCCTTTACCATGTCATCCTACCGGGTACCCTGAAAAATTAAAGAAAATTTAAAGATTCATGACTTACCTTGATAATTAGGGATTGGGATTTTAAAAGGCTTGGAAAGAAGATTCTTGATGAGAGCTTCCTGAAACATAAAAAATGGGAGTATGTTAGTTTATTTGCTGCTTTCTTCACCAGTCAGACAGACATTGGATCAATTCAGTATCGATATATTTTGACTCACAATTATCAGTCCCATCTTGATTAACACACAAATAAATCATTCTGAAAGTGTATAAATACAAATTTGTTTATTTAATGCTGACAAGGCTTAACCTGTTAATTAAACAAAAGTCACCAAGAAATGACAAACCCCTGTTTCCCACAAATTTGATAAAGGGGGATTATCAAGTGCTGCAAGAGACATATGTCCAACTTCCTGAGAGTATATGTATCCATCTGTCTGAAAACAGGTTATTGAGCTATTGACAAAATGGAATAAGGAACTTTTTATTTGCATGTCAGGTTTTATTATGTTTAGATGACCAAGTGGATGTAATCATCTTCAAACATTGGCTGAGAGAGCTCTTTTTTCATAGTACAGCTACATGAATGCAAACATCAATAAAGTTGTAATTAACAACTAAATTTCAGTCAAATACCAGCTTAGGAAGTGGCAATTTGAAGAAAAGATGCTAGTTTGGGAGATAAGCCATAAAAAAACCCACATCACTGTCAACTGAATCAAACTTGTTGCCATGGAAACAGAAAAGATAACAATTCCAAAAATATCTAAATATCAAAAGGCACCATTTGTCATTTTGATCAATGTGTGTGCAGAGTTTTGTGAACGAGTACATTAGTTTTAGAGATATGGCCTGGACAAGGACACTACTATGAAAAGAGTCCAAGTCATACTTGTTGCCATGAACGAGGAAAAATAAAAATTCTAGAAATTCCTATATAGCAAAATGCACCAGTTGACAACCTGTTCTCTGTGTGTGCAAAGTTTCCTGGATGAGTTCCTATTTGTCCTAGATATATGGTCCAGACAAGAAATTAAAATACAGACGGACAGACAGACAAGTTGTTTACTATATCCCGATATGACAATAAATAGAAAAGAATGTTCATGATTTTCATTATTGATCTTTATCATACTAATCTTCATAAATATAAACAGGTTTTTTTTGCAGGGGATATATGAAGAAATAACACTGATATAGTTTTATCAATAGTTAACATCTAATGATACATCAATATTGTATTCATGCATCTGTTGTTGATTGTAATAGTATGGATCTAGGCCAATTTTATAGCGATAGCCAAAAGATTGGGTTATGAGTACCATCTTATGTGGTCAGGGATCAAAGCACCAATGTTCCCTCTCCAGGCAAACACTCTATCCACTAGACTTAAAGTTATCTCCTCAAAGAAAATAGCAGTACAACACTATAGGGTTTCTATGGCACCAAGATCTAGTCACCTCTTGTGACAAGGAATAGAGTGAGTGAGTATGGTTTTACTCCTCTTTTAGCAATATTCCAACAATATCACTGCGGGGGATACCAGAAATGGGCTTCACACATAATACCCATGTGGGGAATCGAACCCGGGCCCTCGGTGGGATGAGTGAACGCTTTAACCACTAGGCTTACACACACGCACGCAACACAACACAACACAACACAACACAACACAACACAACACAACACAACACAACACAACACAACACAACACAACACAACACAACACACACACACACACACACACACACACACACACACACACACACACACACACACAAAAAAAAAGGAATATAGATTGGGAGACCTATTCTAAGCTGGGTTTCAGATGAGAGCATTGAGTAAGCATTTACAGCCATGCCAGAAATATAACTCACACATAACAATAGTTTTACTTGGTTGTAGCACTGAAATAAATCAATGAACTGATCAGTATTTAGATCAATTGATAGTCCCATGATATTGATAGAAATAATGGAATCCTGAATGCTTTGCAAATCCATTTTAACATTTGAAAGCTATGATGCATATCCCCCACATGAAGTTTCCGTGCATTGAGCATTATCCATAATATCTTCAAATCTGCAAAACTATGTTTTTTATCTCCCTTCTTTCTCTATTCTTATAAAGATGGCTGTTGTACAGCTCCAGAAGTACTCCATGAATGATGCAGTGAAACAACAGCATCAGCAGGATACTTCCTGCAGTTTCACCATGACTGATTACAGAACACAGGGGAGATGGAAAAAGGGTCTACATAAATAGACCTCAAGTCTTTCAAGGAAAACAAATTCTATACCACTCCACTTTAGCTTGGGTTATTTTGAACTTTCCCTGATACACAAAGCTGATTCTCATTATAGGTCAAGAGTATTTTCAAATAGAATGACATACATAAAGGTTATTACATGAGTGAGTGTGTCATATGCCTTATACGAAACCTCCCTTGGCTGGCGTTTTATCCAATCAGGTGTCTACGCTAGGAAGTTGAGCGAACCAATCACAACTCACTTTCGCTTCTTAAATTATCTAACCGTTTAAACTTGGCAGCACAATTGATGCAGGGGTACTCTGAAAGAGGTAGAAGGCGTTCTTTCATATATTTTTTTCAATTTCAGATATGACAATGTGTCTGTATTATTTGCTCAAAAATCTGAGTGGCACTGCGAACAAACCTTCGCGACTGCGACTGCTATCTTTGTTGACACTGGCAAGCTCGGATGTAACGGCTGCTTAGCTGATTGTCTACTGTGAGAATGCGGAGCCAGCAAAGGGAGGTAATATAATTATCAGGCCAAGCCGTGGTTGCATCCAGGGTATAGTGGAGAGTGATCGTAACGTATACCCTGGAGATTATTGAGAATGATGGCACACTTGTGAATGTAATAATTTCTTTATTATTATCTATTTCATTAATGTACATTTGTACAGTAAATTACAGTAAGCAACATGACGGCCCTGTTAACTGACGTCACATTCAATTGTTTAATGACGTCATTGACGAAATACAGAAACAATGGTTGCTAGGCAAAAGTGATATAGTATATGACACTGGTTATGTTTCACCATATGGATAATAACTGATTGTTACCATCACTGTGAGAGTTGCGTTAAACAGCACTTTGAATCAGTATTCAAGGTAGATCAGTGCTGTCTGCTTAATATAGGAGGGAAGAATGAAGTAAAACCCATGAGCATGGGCCGGTCCTGATCATAGGTTCCTGGTGTGTCCAAGGGACATAACTCTGCACAGCCAACTATGACGCCTGAGACTACTGGTATGCTACGAGATGCTGTTTATACTTATAAAGTATGTGAGATGGCTTGTATCCTTCCTTGTTTGAATGGATGCTTTGATATTGACTTAAATGAGTGAGTGAATGAATCTAGTTTTATGTTGCTTTTAGCAATATTCCAGCAATATCATGGCAGGGGACACCAGAAATGGGCTTCACACATTGCACCCATATGGAATTGAACCCAGTCTTTGGCGTGACAAGTGAATGCTTTAAGTACTATTCTCCCCCACCACCCCAATATTGAGTTAAGAAATAGAGAATCTCACCCAAGTGTCTCCTGATATCAATTATATCAATCCTGATATCAATTGATAAAGTGACAAGGGCTTGACACACACCCGTTCAGTGTGGATATATCGTCATCCATATGTGTCAAGATCGTTTAGTTGAGAGTCAAAATCAGGTTTCAATTGACTTGCAGAAATAACAAAAAAGAATTGGTAGGTGTCATGAGCGGTCCTCGACAGGCCAATCAACCATGATTATGTTTACATTATGTTTTAATCGATTGCACGCGATGGTAGCATAGCGATTGGCAAAGCAGGCGGGTGGGGTGCACTGAAGTATCCGGCCTTGTCATGATGCATTGTACTGTCAAGCATTTTGAGTCGGGGATCATCTCAAAATCAATATTTTTTTAAATCTTTAATCCTCGCAAAGACACAAGGGCCTGTAAGCAAAGCTCCTTCAAATTTCAGCAATGTATCTCAGCTATCCTGGTGAGAGTGAGTGAGGTAGTTTAGTTTTACGCTGCACTCAGCAATATTCAAGCTATATGGTGGTGGTCTGTAAATAATCGAGTCTGGACCAGACAATCTAGTGATCAAGAGCATGAGCATTGATCTGCGCAATTGGGAACCGATGACATATGTGAACTAAGTCAGCGAGCCTGACCACCCGATCTTGTTAGTCGCTATCCTGGTGAGAACTAAAGTACTTTAGTCATAGATCATGGCAAATATCTTACTGTTAAGCAAACTGGTTTATCCAAAATAAAAGTGACAGTGAGGTAGTCTAGTGGTTAAAGCATTTCTCCGTCCTGCTGAGAACCCAGACTAGATTCGCTTGTCATGCCTTGTACTCGTATTCAGCCCATTTTATAATTATAAGTGAATGAGTTTAGTTTTACGCTGCATTTAGCAATATTCCAGCAATATCACGATGGGGGGACACCAGAAATGGACTTTACACATTGTACCCATGTTGGGATCCAAACCCCTTTCTTCAGCGAGATGAGCAAACACTTTACCCACTAGGCTACCCCACTGCCCCTCATAATTATAAGAAAAGTTCACGCATCTGTTTGTTGATTAAAATATATTGTGTTTTTTTGTACTTTTGGAAACAGGTAGGTGGCGTGGCGTTCACTTGTCACACTAAAGGTCTGTGTTCGATTCCCCACATGGGTACAATGTGTGAAGCCCATGGCTGTTGCCCCCACCATATTGCTGGAATATAGCTAAAAGCAGCATAAAACCTCACTCACTCACTCCAACACAAAGATCAGTATAGAAAACATAAACACTGATCATTATCATGATAAATACATAATATGATTCAGTTGTTCCACATAATACTTAAATACAGAGTAAGATGCCTCCATCTGCGACAAGTTCTGAGATCCCTCATCAGGTTGTGTATGTGTAATTTGACTAATGCTGCCCAACAAGTAATGGTGCTAGTCTTGGCAACCAAATGTAATGATTCACAGAAAATTTGATTCCTTTTGGTTTGACGTCAATGGCTTCTTCTATGTCCTTGACAGTGTCGGAGAAAGACACTGATGTATTGATTAAAATATATATCTCACCTAATTTTCA